CACAGGGGCCAGGCTCAGCCTCTAGGGATGCAGCACCCTACTTACAGTATGCCTCTACCCCCTGTCTGCAGGGAGTGGGCTTAGATACACCCGTGTCTATGTCCACTGCATGGACAAATGAAACTGCATGTTGCCTAACTGGCTGAAATATTAAAATTTTGGAAAATCAAATAAAAGAAGCCAAACTGTGCACATGCACACAAATACACACATGCTGACCAGTCATTGCTCTTTTTTTATTGTTCTTTAAGAACAACAGTGTTTTTCAAAAACCCAAAAGGACTAGTAAACTACAGCTGTATAATTCACCTGCATTCTGTCTCATCTCTTACACGTTAAGATTCATATCTGCACTATGTTACTTCTTAGAGATGACCTCCATGTCCTTTGAACCTGCACAGGAGATGTCTTTTGCTGTAGGTTTATCTTTAATTAAACCCACATTCAGTGCAAACCAGGAATTACTGTGGAATATCTCAGTGGAACACCTCATTTGAAGCATCAGCTGTTATCTTATCTCAGCAAACCAAAACTGTGCTTTTCAAATACTGCTTTGCAGTTCTGCAAATTTAGCCCTTGTTAATATGTTTAATCTTAACTGCAGCTGAAGCAATTAATCAATTAGTTGATCTACAGAAAATTAACCATAGTTTTTATAATCACTGAATGGTCTAAGCATTTCAAGCATTTGACTTTATTAGGTGCGCCTGTACAATTTTGTGCAATTCAATGCAACAATTTTGCCATAACATGTCATAACGTCTGTGTTTATGAAGCTCAAAATGTTTCAATTTTTGGTGAAATTGTCATGAATGTATAAATTCAATTATATGTTTTTTATTGAGGTCAAAGTTAAAGGTGGTGTTGTACTAGACTACATTGTATATACAGAGGTGTTCCTAATATTCTGACTCTCTCATGTATGGAGAACAAAAATGAATATAATGTAGTCCAGTACAACACCATCTTTAACCAGGACCTCAAGTAATGGCTGGTGAGTGTATGTGTTTTTGATGGTTTCAGCATCTTTAATGTGAAGCATTACTGCTTTTCCCTGTTTTGTGTAAACTAGGCCAAGACATGTGAGGACCTGTGGTCTAAGAAATTGTCACAAACATTTTAGGGATCAAACAACTGGTCTGATTGAGAAAAACATCAACAGATTTATCGATGAAAATCATTTTTAAGTATAGCCCTAGTCCACCATGTGTGCATGTGGTGTGTGTGTGTGTTTTAATATAGACTGCCCCCATCCCATCCTTTAAAATGTGCTATTTCATCAAAAATATCATTTATTCAAGCAGAAAATTAATTACGAAATTAGCGTTTAGCTGCTACGCCGTTCTTAGAGAGTGCTTCATTTACATGTACAGTACCAGCAATGTTGCACACACACGGCTTGAGACTGCATCAGCTCATTCACCCAGATGAATGAGCCTGTGCACTGATGCTGTTCCTAATGAGGGAGGCTGCCTGTGTATCCCTCCCCTTTATTACAGCACTGGACTCTCAGCATCACTCAGCCTCTTCTCGTCTCCTCTCCATTGCACAGCCACCACTGTAAATTCATAGCGTGCTTCCTTACAGACAGACACGCAAGTGTCATTCCCATTTTGATTAAAAATTCCTTCCAGTGCTTTAGCTTTATTTTTTTGAGAAATAATGACAATCTTACTGTCACTAGCACACACTGAGCACGATGCATGAATTTAAAAGACACAGGCACTCACGGGTGAAAGAGCCTGAGGCAGAGGGGTTGACACTGTCACTGCTATCCCCACTCTCACTGCACGAGACCTCATCATCAGACTCCCGCAAGGAAGAGCACGGGGAGGAGGAGGCTTCCACCTCCTCAAATTTCCTCTTCAGTATGCCGCTCATGGCCCGCCGCATCTGCACCTGAAACCAAAAGACAGCAGAGGGGCAACGCGTTATTTAATTTTAGTTTAGGGTTTTCATAATCCTCAACACACTCAAGTAGCAGTGAGACCCAGACTCCCCCCCACACCAGCTCCCTTCACACACATATATACACACAATCTCTCCTGCAGCTGTCCCAGCTCCCAGGCATTCCCTGGGCGATTGATCACCTTGGCACAAAGGAGCTGAGATAGAAGGAGAAAGCTGCTAATTACATACTATGTCTGCCTAACAGGAAGTTCATTCCACTGTCTTTAATTGAGAGGCTAGAGAAAAAAGAGAGTGGACCCACTTGTCTTGCACTGCTACCCATCAGGGTGGAATTATGTATAATACAGCATACTGTATGTATTATGTATAATAATATGTGATTGCATATCATTGCTGCTACACCTAGAATGTATAAAAAGGATTTAAATTTGGCTTCAAATTGACTACATGCCATCCCGTCCACACCATTTTTGTGAATGAGGGGCAGAGTAAGTGGCTAAGCTAAATAACAGTAAAACCTCTCTGACTAATGCAGCACAGTTCAACTGCTGCACAAAACAAATCCACCAAAACGACCAGTTAAATCAAGGCCTCTTAAAAGAGTTTCAACAACAAAACTGAACAGTATATGCACTAGTTGGATCTAGGTGTAGCTAATCAAGTGCAAACCGAGTAGGCTATAAATCACAGTAGCACCAGAGAAGCAATACAGTAGGTGAAGCTGCTGTTGACAGCGTAATGAGTGTCACTCTGTGTCTGTAATGAGCTTCTGTTAGGTCAGATTCCTCCTAAAGGAAAAAGAAAAAAATAAAGCTGCAGAGTAAAAACAATTCAATACTGTGGTAGACTATAATATACCTTGTAATCCACAATAGATGCAAGAAATAATCCTGTATCATAAATGAATAACCAACCAAACTGGACCAACAGATAATAGTAATAATAGTAACTTTAAAGTTAAATCAGGCACAGTGGTGTTAAGATATTTTTGGATTTTTGTGTAGATGCAACTACATGTTCGTGGTTACAGCACTTCACACAGGCTGTTAATGTTACAGATCACTTCAGTGTCAATTGACAGCGACCATTAACTCTCTCTGACTAATGATGCAATAAAAAAAAATAAACTCATCAGTCAAATACACTAAAACTAATCACCATGACACTAGAACTGGATCTAAGAGTTTCTGCATTGTAACTGTCAAACAGTATATTATTTTGATTGCTGCTTTTTCCCTTTTAATATTATCCTGGTGTCATTCTTAAATGTGTAATGGATGTTTAACTTCTTTAATGTTAATCACCATTAATAAAACTTGAAAATGCAGAGCCTCGAGCTCCCTGTTTTATCAGCAGCAGCTGGAGCGTCAGGTCACTTTTTTTTTTTTAAATAAACCCACTAACACAGCACTGTTGCTGCAGCATACCATGGACTGCTATGACTGGCAGCTATTCCCTCATCGCTTTCTCTCTTGGAAACTGGAATCAGTAAAGACAGCATGCATCTTCACCCAGTCCCACTTTGTGTATCTGCCAAAGCAGCTTGTGGGGGAGTTCCATTCACAGACAGCCTCTGTGTTTCATCTGGGCTCTGCTGTCGAGTCATTACAGATGCAAATGCTGCCTGAGAGAAAGAGGAGCGACCCAGAGAGGACCAGCACTGCCAGCAAGAGGGTCATTGTTCTCAGGAGGCTGTGCTTGTTCAGTGCACTGACATGGCACTGCCAGCTCTACCTACAACTAAGGAATGTGTGGCAGCCTCCAAGTGGGAGAAAGTAGAGGAGAGAGGAGTCACCCAGGGTAACCTCATTGAAAATGTATTTTTTCTAAAAGAGAGGATATAATTTGGAAGCAAAATCTATCTAAAACCATCTTCTGTGTACCCGAGATGGCTGACAAGAAATCATCAGTCTACAGTCTTCTGAATGATTATTACAAAACCCAATGACATTAACTAACGAACTAGTCCCGAAAAATATTAAATTTAAAATGTTCATCAACAGCAGATGCCAATCTAACATCAAAAAAGTAAAGAAACAGATTTATCGCACAAACTGCTTCATTTGCATCCAAACGAGTGGAGATTTTCACCAGAAATCTACTGTGCAATTTTAGTCAATTTCCTAGCGAGGGTCCTAATTGTTGGAAATCTATTCGTATGCTTAGCCCTCAGCTGATGCTGCTCTAGGCTTTGATACCAAAAGTGGTTTCCATGGAGATTCTAATGTACTCTCACAACTAGTGCTTTCCCATATGACGGTGTTTACTGTGCATGAGGGCTCTTCATAATAAAGCAATGTTAGAGCAAATTAAGTTGATACCAAAGCAAATAATGCTTACAGATTTACCACAGTGCCTGTCTCAGATTTATGCATTAGCAGTTCATTTGCATTCTGTTATGACAGGATGAAAAGTTAACATCTTGACACTGAATGGGCAGGACAGCATGAGCCACAGAGCTGGGAGTAATATAGGGCGAATTCTCTTTCATCATGGCTGAGATTGTTGCCGCTCTCCAACACCTCTGTCTTTGTCTTCTCTGTTGCCTTACCACTAATCATGACTGGGTAGCATACAGTATGATACAAGGGCAGAAAATCCCAGGGAAAATAATGCAGCAAAAGCCAGCTTGGAAAGCCCCTCCCTGTGTTTGCCTGTCTGTGCAAACACATCAACAGTGGAAACCAACTCTTGTCCTTAATCAACAGCGCTCACAGCACTGTAGCACTCTCCTGCCCCACTGTCACCCCATCATTCACTAGGTACCTGAAGTCATAACAAAATGATGTGACAACACAAGACTCAAAATATTCATCATAAGTGATGACAACAGGCCTATGGCACCGGGAGCAAGTCATGACACATCAGTCCAACAAAGACCAAATTACACTTGTGTGCGTGTGTGTTTGTGTGTGTGTGTGCGTGCGTGCTGGCCCTCACAGGACCAACTGACCTGTATCCACTGGCCAACTGTGCTTCCTTTCACCTCTTCTCACAGCAGCACAGCCACACAATCATAAATGTGGTGATTCAAAAAGAGTGAAACATGATGAATAAAGAGATTCCCATTTTGTTTCAGTCCACTGACTTGCAGCGACCCCTAAGCTCCACTGGCATGAGAAAAAAAGGGTGCACGAGTGTGAGAGAGACTTGTAATTTTCCAGCTCTGACTGCACCGTCGGTACCATATGCTGACAGTCTTTCACTTTTACTCCCCTCTCTGTCACCGTGTTCCTCTCTCTCTATCTTTTCCTCTCTCTCTCTTTGGCCACACAAAGGCTCATTAGCTGTAGCCAGCTGAAAGGCAGGCGCCTGACTGGAGCAGAGTGGAGCACAGCAGAGACAGCCAGTGAGATCACATGGGTGGGATGTCTGAGAGAAAGAGAGAAAGAGAATGAGAGAGAGAGAGAGAGAGAAAGTCAGGCGTGCCTCTGCTCCTGCTGTCTGCAGATATTTTTACCAACATGAACTGGAGAAGGGAGGGGGACGAGAAGAGGGAGGAGGAGGCAGAGGTATGGGGGGGTCAGAAAGATGAAATGTTGGTGAAATGGTGCATATGGGAGATGCAGGGCAATGGGAAAAGAGGTGGAAGGGGTATAACCAAGATGCAGAGAGAAGGGAATTCAGAAGGGAATAGTAAATGGGGAAGGGG